AAAACCTTTAAACTTAGTAAGATGAAGGGCTAAAACCAAGTTTTTACCTTTTAGAAGTTGCAAAATCTTTAAATTTTAAAATTTATTTTAAATTTTTAAAGTTTTATTAAAGTAAATAACTTTTTAAATTTATTAATTTTGATAATTTAATTTTTTTTTATAAATTTAACATTTATTTGTATCTTATTTACATAAATAAAATCAATATCATTCATATAAATAATAACTTGTTAATATTTTATTCATACAAATAACATATAAATGAATATTAAGTTTGACCATTAAAAAAAATTAAAATTTTGGATAAAATAGCAAATGCAGCACGAGAGAGAAAAGAAGGAGAGAAATCTTAGCCACTACGATTACGCAAGTTGGTAAACCGGTAAAGGAAGATTCTATTAATATATTATTGTTTCATTTGGATGTTAATAAAACAACTACTCCCTCTTGTTATGTTTAGCTGTTTTAATTTGATTTTTAAATATTTTATCCAAATTTTCTTCAATGCAAGTAATATATAAATGGATGTTAAGTCTGACCATTAAGAAAAAAATAAAAATTTTGGATAAAATAACAAATACAGCACGAGAGAGAAAAAAAGGAGAAAAATCTTAACGACTACGATTATGCAAGTTGCTAAACCGGTAAAGGAAGATTCAATTAATATATATATATTTTTTTTGGTTCCTCATCCGGTATTTGGGGTTTCGCCCCGACTACTTCGGACTCGACCAGCTGTGGCGCATCAGAATGGTGGGTGGGTCTCCCAACGAAGATTGCTGCGTACACAAGGTCTCGAACTCGAGATCTTGCTTAGACTGGAACAAGCCGCTTGCTACTTGATCCAACCCCTCGGTTGGTTCAATTAATATATTATTGTTTCATTTGGATGTTAATAACAACTACTCCCGCTTGTTATGTTTAGCTGTTTTAATTTGATTTTTAATTTTTTAAATATAAATTTTAAATAAAAATTTAAATACTCAATTGAAATTTCAAATTTCTTATATGAATAAATTTTTTTTATAGTTATTTATATAAAATTAAATTTTTATTTAAAATTTACATTTCAAGAATCAAAAAATTAAATTAAAATTACTAAAAATGAATTGATAAAGTAATAATCATACATATTAATTAAGTATATGATAAAATAATTTACTTAATTGTTTAAAATCAACATATGTATACATATATGTTTAGGCAACTTCACAAACCTCTGTTGTAGAGATCTCCAATTGTTTCAACACCTAAAAAGTTTGAGGATGTTTCTTTAAAGAAGACACTCAAATGCTCAAGTCAACAATACTGTATTATTTAGAGAGATAAACTTTCAAGAAAAGTTATTGCAGAGAGAGAAACGTGATTGAGTAAAAACCTTGTATAAGGGTAAATGAAAGTATTTATAGTCTCTATTAATGACATGAAGTTTTCTTATGTAGTTATCCAATCAACCCAAATGTTGCCATTCA